TGTCATGGAACTGTGTGGCAATGAGTGTGGGAGTAGGAAAGCTAACTTAGGAAGTCCTTCTAAACCCTACTTAGTTCTAAAGGCACATTTCAGAGAAAGAAAGTTGCCAGTAATAAAATCTTTAGAAGGTTGTTACAAGGCAACTGTTTTGATTAGGCAGGAAATTAAGCTTACTATTATTTTTTTCTTGTTAGCTTGCAAAGAGGGGGTGTTAATGACCTGGGACTACTGGGTAGCTTTATCTACTGTCTTACTCTATCCAAAGCAATTTGTTGCCTTTTATCTTGTATTCATATACAAACAAAATAGAGAGAGAATGGGAAAAAAGAGTTCTGAACAGACTTAATGTTCTTTGGTGGGCTTTCAAGAAAGACCAGTAGGAAGCTGGGAGATATATGTAGGAAGTCGATATGGAATGAAGAATACATTTGTCTATTGAGTCTAGGAGTCTGTAGGTGTTACTATGTGGGATAGAGGGCAACTTTTTTTTAATAAAAGGATTTATTTATTTATGCATACAGAACTGGGGTACAAGCCAGAGGTGCTGGGGCAGTGAGAGAATTTGCCAGAGACAGAATGCTGAGCAGAACAGGCAGATCAAGGAAGCACACTGCTGAGGGGAGCAGTGGGCGGGTCAGGAGAGGTCTGCCATGCCATGTGTGTCACCTCCAGGGTGGGGATCCAACTGGCTCTGAAGTGGCTGCAGCTAGCTTACAGTGCTGCCCCCCTAAATTTTGTTCACCAGGAAGGGCCAGAGGACAACTTTTTTCTGACCTTAATTGGGTTTGCCAAGATCCAAATATGAGTGGCCAACTGAGGGGCTGTATTTTGCAAGCAGTCTTAGCATGAAATACTAAGGATATTTCCTGAGCACAGCAGGTCAGATGGGCATTTCAGCACTGTGGAAAACTTTTAATTAAAAGACGGAAGAGAAAGAGAGACAAACAAATGCAATAGACTAAAAATGAAAACAATGAACTATAAACCAGAGATATTTTGTGGGGATGGAAGGGAGAATGGGATCGGAACTGAGGTGGGAAGAGTGCATTAAACTGTGGTGATGGCGCACAGGTGAAGTGATGTTGGAAAGCCCATGGGGATTACAACTGAGATGAAAAAATGCACAAAGTGAAGAATGATGTAAATATATATATATATGTTAAAAAAAAAAAAAAGGGAAGAGGGGCCTCCCTGTTGGCAAAAGGGATTTAGTCTTAACACTATGAAGCTATCTGCAGCCACTGTAACTCAAGTTTGATCGCCAGCCAGGGAGATAATCCACATGGCGCAGCAGACATCTCCTGTCTTGCCTGCTGCTCCCCTCCACAGTGTATTTCAGTCATTCTGTTTCCCACTCTGTCTCTGGTGAATCCTTTCACCACCTGCACCTCTGGCCTGTACCCTATGTATAAATAAATAAATCTTAAAAAAAAATATTTCTCAAACTTAAAAAAAAAATAAAGAGGGAAGAGGTGCTTCTGATTATAGCACATATTCTGTATATGAACTTGACTTGACATTCAGCAGCTAACCTCAATTTCTAAATCTAATTATACTGCAACAGACTTTTGGATTGAGAGAGGGGAGGAGATGTTTCAATGTAGATGTGGTAATGTTCTTTTTTTTTCATGTAAGATAATTAAAAAAAAATACATATACTACCTACCATCACCATGATTCAATTTTTCTAATATATATTACAATGCAAATTTGACCTAAAAATTGAATCACTTTAACCTTTATTTTAAAAAGTATAAAACTTTTAACCAGCTTCTAGGAAATACTCTTAACCATGTTGCTACTAGTTGCTATCATCCTTTTTCCTCTTTGTCCCCTCATTGTTGCCTCCTCCCTGTCTCTGGTCTTCTCTGCTACCCTTACTATTTCCAGCCACACTTTTTCTTAATTACATTAATTGAGTAGAGGCTTGGGTCACCTATGCTTTTGGCGAAGTGATAGGGAGAAGCATACAGGGGAGTAGATAGGGCTTTGTCTAATTTTCCACTATATCCATCAGTTAAGCAATTTCCCAGAGAAGTCAGACGGCACTCAGAGAAGTGGAGAGAGAGATTTACTTATCACACTGGTGGGTTCAGTGGGATCAATCCCAAAAGCTGAGCCCTGAATTACAGGAATGGTGAGATTTTATACAGTTTGTATGAGGAAACTTGTCATCCCATCTGTCATAGCATAAGCATTCTTTATTGTTAGGAAGGATAGATAAACTTTTGTTCCTTCAGTTGTTTAAAATCTTCAGGTGCCAGACTTGTGCACAACCTCACACTGCTCAGTGGCCCAAGTCCCTGCCAGGGATGCAGCACACGGGCCCCTCCCTCTAAAGGCCTGTGTGTGGACTTGTTCTTATCTGCATCTCCTCCTGGTGTTTCTTCATGGACCAGCCACTTGAGCCAGCCTTCCAAAGATGCCACAGAAGTGGACAGCCTGCTCAGACCCTTTTGCAGCCTTGCTCCAACCACAACCCAGAAGCTGGTTGGTCAACACATGGCAGAAGCTTGAGGAACATCAGATAGATGTACATAAACTGTTGGACTGGCCCCAGTGTCAGGTTTTCCTGCTTCCTCTCCGGTTTAAGTGTTTTTGTTATATTAGCTTATTGCCTGTCCTGACAAAATCTGGGGGCAGACCCCTTGTGTTTTGGGCTGTGGCCAGCGCCCTACTGTTTCTGTGTCTTGCACACATGTATCCAAGGTCTCTGGTTCTTCTATGTGCTCCCAATGAAACCTGTTTGTTTGCTCTACTGGTATCTATAAATGTTCTAATTATACCTGATATAAGTCTCTGTGCCCTCACTTTACTCATCCCTGACTTCAAGCTTCTGTTAGGTAAACAAGCTACCCAATGTTCACATACTGGCCCTGGCCATTGTTCTAAATGTAACCCCCTGAGCATCCTGTTGCTTGTGGGTTTTGGTGATTCTACAGGGATAATCTTAAAGACTGTTGTTTCTATGCCAACAAGTCAGGTGTTGTTCATGAATCATTATGTTGATATTCCCTAGCCCTTGGTAGAAATATCAAAAGGGGGGAAATGAAGCCAAAAGTTTCCCAAATCTGCTTAGGTTCTGCTACTTTCCCAGGCCTGCTGCTTGGGGAAGTCTGCTGCTTGGATTCTCCTGCTTGCTAGAGCAGAAAATTCCTTCAGTGTGCTGCTTGTCTACTGTAGTAGCTATTGCTACCTTGACCACCTTCCCAAACAATCAAGAATGCTTATGCTATGATGGATGGGATGACAAGTTTCTTCATACAAACTGTATAAAACCTCACCATTCCTGTAATTTGGGGCTCAGCCATTTAGGACTGATCCCACTGAGCCCACCCATGACAAGTAAATCTCTTTACTTCTCTAAATGCGTTTTGATTTCTTTGGGAAATTGCTGTAACACTATTAACTTGGATATAGGCGCTTCTCCCATGCAGAATTAGATTTTACAAATTCACATAAAAAGACCATCTCTAACTTTTGAGGACCCCCTTTTTTTTTTAAACTGACAAAGCTACAATAAGTCACTTACTAGACAGGCTGATTATTAATAATTTAAAGCCCAAAGGCAAATCTTTGTCCTTATAAACAAAGCAAAGTTAATTCAAAACAAACTGACATTAACTAGCTTGGGGTAAGGAACTGAGTGAAAATAAAATAATAAATTAGTTCATTGGCATAAAAAATGGAACAAAAATTGCAGTAGAGTTTAGTACCAATCCCCTTTCCTATTTTCTGTTTTTCTAAGGCCAGAACTACCACTTCCTCTTGAACTACCACTTCCTCCTGAAGATAACTTACAAACATGAAGCCAATTTTGTTAATTTATGCATTATTTTTCTTTTCTTTTCTTTTTTTAATATTTTTTTTAATTTTTTTTAAAGATTTTATTTATTTATTCATACAGAACTGGGGTACAGGCCAGAGATGCGGAGGGTGAGAGGCTTCACCAGAGACAGAGTGGGGAGCAGAACAGGCAGATCGACGAAGTACACTGCTGAGGGGAGCAGCGGGCGGGTCAGGAGAGGTCTGCCACGCCATGTGGTCACGTCCGGGGCAGGTGGGAATTGAACTCATGCGGAAGCGGCTTTAGATTCTCAGTGCTGTGCTTCAACCCGCTGCGCCACCAGGGAGGGCCGCATTATTTTTCTTTTAAATAAAGGACTTATTTATTTTTGCATACAAAAACTGGGGTACAGTACTTTTTTTTTTTTAGAGGCTTCACCAGAGAGAGTGGGGAGCAGGGGGTGAGGCAGGAGCCATCTGCTGTGCCACGTGGGTCACCTCCCTGGCCGGAATGGAACGGCTGCTGTGGCTGCCGCTATCTTCACAGAGGTAAGAATTAACTCCTTGAGCCACCAGGGAGGCGCTATTATTCTTTTGGAGGTCGCAGTAGAATTGTACTGAATTGATCTTAACCATTTCTACCATCTCCAGGTAGGTGACTTAAAGGAACCAGGGAGGTCTAAGGCGACCTCCCCAGAGAAGAAAAGGAATCCTTCGTGAAGATTTAAGTTTCTGTTGAAAATGTAGCCTAAAATCGTCACAGATTCGATCCCAAATTTAATTTGTGCTGTAAGCAGACAAGTTGCACTAGAATTTTCTCCTAGCCTGGAGGATGACGCCCAATCCTTGCTAGTAGCCACACTCCAGGATGTCCAAGATGCCTCCTGATTACTGAAAGCCTCAGGTTTCATAGCGTTCTTCTGTGCCAAACGCCACGGTTCACCGACATCCCCTTAGACACGTTTATAGGGCCAATGGCTCTAACAGGCTGCAAAACACCTCCATAATAGCGACTTTCCCACAGCGGGTCGCCACCAGCAACAATCCCCGAGGCTGGGCCTCAGTATTTGGTAAATGCCGGTTCTCGCCCCCATACGGACAGTTCCCAGCGCTCATCACGGTCTCCTATCGCCCCCTGCCGGGCTCCTCGCGTCACATTAGGAGGATGGCTGTGAGTGACGTCACTTCTACGCGCGACCACGACAGGAAATTCGCTTTGATTCACTTCCGCCCCTTTTCCGCTCAGTTCCCCGAGGCGCAATAAAGAAATCTGAAGTATTTAGGTGCAGTCCAGTGGGAGGTGGGTGATTCGGTACCGCCGCTGTGCTTTCTCTTTTTAGAAGCATATTTGGAGGACTTTGATGTGCCGCGCTGTGCTTCCAAAGTTGTTCTTGGGGAAGGAGGAATGCTGGGAAGAGCCCCTGGTTTGGAACCTGGGAGTTAGTAGTGTTTTTAGTTAAGCGAGACAGCTGTGATCGAGCCTTACGCCGTAGCTAACTAAAGATGAGCTAGTAAAGAGCGCGGCGCTCCTCCAGGTTTTGTAGTTTTAGAATAATGTCTACCTTTTAAGTTGTGGGGTTTAAGCAGCAGAACTTGGCGAGGCATTTAGCTCTGGCTTTACGAGTCGTACTCGGAATTCTGCTACCTTTCACATCACACCAAGGCTTATACTTTTCCTTTTCTTAATAGCTCAGAAATGCCACCGTGCTATTTCTAGGGACAACTTTTCCAGCTTTTCCGGAGGGATGCAAAATCCTCTTTCCATAAGAAAATGAGGTGAGAAATGCACTGCTACTATCTCTAAATCTCTTCAAACTTAAGTTTATTTTCTTAGAAGATCAACGGTGCTTAGCTATTTCCATTAAAATCCCCTTATTCAGGCGAGTGGTGGAACAATATGAATTAGCCATAGACCTCGTAAGTTACAAGTGTTCAGTATATTTGTTAACTTTGAACTTTAACCCTTGAAAAATGGTTTTGATTAAAGACGTCAATTTGAGAGATTGAAATACATAATGGAATGTTTTTGATAATTGTAGGTTGAAGCAATGGATTAGACTTCTTAAATATTTAATTATTTACATGAGACTTCTTAAATATTAAACTTACTAGACATTATAGAATTTTGAGTGGAGCTGGGTGCTGAAGAGTATCATTGATATTCTTAGAAGTCTACTTTTTGTGTATCAGAAATTGAAAAATAAAGGTATTTATTTTCCTTTACTTTTCACACACTCAAGACAATTTTTTTTGAGTTTTTTATTTTAATATAATAGTTTATTTTTACATTATTTTGGGCCTTTTTCCACTCAGTTGTAATCCCCATGGACTTCTCATCATCAAATCACCCATGTGCCATTCATCACCATAGTCCAGTGTGCTCCCCCCTACCCCCATTTTGATCCCATTCCCCCCCCAGTAAAATGTCTCTGGTATATTGTTGTTCATTATTTTTTATTTCTCTTTGGTGCTTTATGCTCCTGCTATGAATGAAACCATCCATTTTTTTTTCTTTCTGTCAAGCCAGTATATTTTTAACTTCTTGCCTCATTGCAAAATACTACATAGCACTTAATTTTTTAAATAATTGTTATTCTGTTTACCCCCTTTTCCCCACCCCTATATATTAATGTCCTTCTCCCACTCCTCTATTTATGTTAGTGGATTCTAGCCATAGTGTTTGGCAGTATGCAACATAGAATATTTGGTCATCTTTTTATTATGTTAGTTTTTTTTTTTAAAGATTTACTTTTTTATGCATTCAGAATTGGGGTACAAGCCAGAGCTGTAGGGTCAGTGAGAGGCTTCACCAGAGACAGAGTGGGGAGCAGAACAGGCAGGACAGGTCTCTGACAAAGTACACTGCTGAGGGAAGCAGTGGGCGTGTCAGGAGAGGTCTGCTGCGCCATGTGGGTCACCTCTGGGGTGGGGATTGAACTCATGCTGAAGTGGCTTTAGCTTCTTAATGCTGTGCTTTAACCCGCTGCACCACCAGGGAGGGCCCACGTTTTATTTTTTTAACAGAATGTTTGGTTTTATATTGCATAGCTGTATCACAATTTATAAATCATTCTGTTGGTGACTACTTAGGTTCCTTTTTCCAATGCTGCTAATATTTTGATGGTCATTTTTTTTTTTTCATAACAAATATATACTTTTATCCTTCCATTTACTTTGTTGGATAGTCTTTCAAACATGGAAATGCTGTATTAAAAGATAATTTGTATGGTACCAAATTCCTTTTCAAGAATGGTATTTGAGTGTTTCCCGAATTTCCTCATATGCTTATAAGTTACCATTGTCCCAGTTTTTAGATTTAGTTGATACTGCTTATACTGGTTTTTGGTTCAGTTTATTGCATTTACAGTATTGTAGTCAAACCCAGACTTTAGCTGTTCCAAGTTCTAAGTCCAGTTCAACTGTTTTTTTTTCTAAATAGAACACTTAGTTTTAGATTCCTTAGTAATATTATGAAACAAATTTGTTAAGTTAAATGTTTATAGGAAGATCATATTTGAATGGGATCCTCTACTATGCTTAGGTATTAGAAATACAGGCTTTTCCAAAAGACACAATAGCTTAACTGAAGCCAGGGTGACAAGAATGGGCAAGGATATTGAGAGTCAGAGGTACGAAAGGCAGTGGTGTCTGGTTGTAAGGTTGCATAGTCAAAGACATGGCTAAAAAATTAGTTGGAACGGTGTGGTGAGAAATTTGAAGGTCAATTTGAAGATAGTATTCACCTCTACAGGTGAGTGCTATGGAGGTCTTTAATGAGGTAGTAAGAAGCAATTCACACCTTTTTTACAAGTATACTATGGTAGCAATTTTGAGTGATGTTTAGAGAGGAAAGTTAGGTGCCTGTTGTAATCTGGATGAAAGAACTGCAAAGACTATAGAGATCAGATTCCAGAGATAGTGAAGAAGCTGAGCTATGATATGATGACTGGGGTTGAGGAAGGAAGAATGCAAAGCTCTTTTAGACTTTTATCACGAGTGACCATTAAGATAGTGATAGTGATTTCATTAATCAGTGGAGGGATTGTTTAGGGGCTGGAAAAGATGGCACAGTTACATTTTGGGCATTTGTATGAAGGGTGTTTCCATGGATGATAAATATGCACAAAGATAAAATCACTGTGACACATTCAGGAGAAACCTTGCTACTCTTTTTAAGAAATTTGGCATACAGATATTTTTACTTACATTTAGTCTGTCATTGCTTCAGTTTCATTTGAACTTTCTGGGACTTGTTCAGCTGAGTTTGTCATAATGTTAATAACAATCTCAAGAGAGTATGTTGTCCTGAGTAGTAATCTTCAGACTCTGTGTATACTTGCAATAAGGTTTATACATGTACCTTTAGTATATGTATATTTACTGATTAGTGACATGCTTGCCTTACTATTATATAGCATATATTATAGAATATATTAAAAGTAGACATTTTAAATGACCAAACTAAATATAAAATAGAAGTTTCACTGTTTCTTCCTATATACTATTATTTTATACTCTGCTCTCTGAAGCACTCAGCTACAATTGTAGTGTTCTGTCCCATTATCCAGTAGGGGTCACCCTTTGAACATCTGTAAGAGACAACAGATGGTTGAATGTATAAAGTGGAGTCTTCATTCTTTAGTAAGAAAAGGACCATATTTTTAAGTTTTTAAATGCATGCATTTTTGGAAGACAAGCTACAGAGTTGTATGGTATTATAGGGATGTGAAGAATTGTGAACTCAGGATATAGGGGGATTTAAGTATATTTTTGTTTTCACTCACCATATTGATGTTTACTTGGTGAGTGTTCTATATTTCTATTTGAGTGTTATTTGATCCCATAGTTTTAGTCTTTCTGAAGTTTTTTTGAGGGTCTATAGATTTATCTGAGCTATAGGCATAATGTAAGTTTTAATTAAATTGGAATAATCAGAAGGACAAAGGAAGATTTTTGATGATTTTGAAAACAGTTGTCTCAGGACCAGTGGTGAAATGGAAACATCTGTTTTTTTTTTCTATTTTATACTTAATTAGAAAAGAGGAAAGGGAAACACTCCCTTTACATTATAATAGTTCATAGTAAGTATTGTGAAATTAAGAATTAGATTTTTTGCAGATAAATAGTCTGAAAATGTATGATTTAAAAATATATACATGCATTGCACAATCAGAACTCACGTGGTTTGGGGACATAAATCAGTCAACAAGTTGAATAAAGGAACACTTTTGACTTTTCTTCTAAAATACTTCCCATAAATGGAGCTGTTCATTTTGTTAGACTTATGATTATTCTCACATATATGTTCGTATATGTCATGCCTCATTTCTAAGTGACCAAAAAAATGAATTATTGAAAAATTTAATCACTTGTATGAAGTTATGTGTATTATGAAACAGATGCCTAGAGCCCTGGGTTAGTCTTTTGTGATGTGGTGTGGTAGAGGAAAATGGTAAAAGTAACTTTTTAATGTTTATTTCTCATCTCAGTACAGATCCATGTGTAGAACTGGGGTACAGGCCAGAGGCTCAGGGGCGGTGAGAGGCTTCACCAGAGACAGAGTGGGGAACAGAACAGGCAGATCAACGAAGTACACTGCTGAGGGGAGCAGCGGGCGGGTCAGGAGAGGTCTGCCACACCATGTGGTCACCTCCGGGGCAGGTGGGAATTGAACTCATGCAGAAGCGGCTTTAGATTCTCAGTGCTGTGCTTTAACCCGCTGTGCCACCAGGGAGGGCCCCAACTAGATAATTTAAAAAAAAGATTTATTTATTTATGCATACAAAGAATTGGGGTACTGGCCAGAGGTGTATGGGGGTTAGGGTGTGTGAGAAGATTTGCTAGAGACAGTTGGAAGCAGAACAGGCAGATTTACAGCAATACACAGCTGAGGGGAGCAGCATGTGGGTTAGGAGAGCTAGGCCAAACAGTGTGGGTCACCTCCCAGACCAGGGATTGAACTCTTACTGCAGTGGCTTTGGACAGCTTCACTGTGCTGTGCTTTAACCTGCTGCGCCACCAGGAAGGGCCCCCAACTAGATAATTTTGAAGACACAAATTGTTTTGGAGTTGTTGGTTTACAACCAAAGGGGGTGTAGGCTGCACTGAGTGAGGTGGAAGAGTAGGAACGGGGACTATATAAGCTAAGAATTAAGTCTCTGATGATAGTATGGGTTTAAAAAGTACCCTGAACTTACAAAAAAGTGTTTAAAACTGAAATTAGATAGTCTGAAGTATTGATTTTCTGGGTTATATTTAGAATTTGATAATAAGGCCTTGCAAATAGAGGCAAAGAAGTCTGACATCTGTGAGCAGGAGCAAGGCCAGCAGTTAAAAGACAAGCAGAACTGAAAGTATTAACTACTAGAAGTAAACCGAAGGTTTGGATACCAGGAGAACAAAGCAGAAATAGAGGGGCAACTGGTTTTTGGTATCCCAAGCAGGCAAGGCTACCTAAAAAGGGCAAGGTAAAGGCAAGAATGTGAGAAAGCTAGAACAGTGGACAGTGTGCTTTTCTTTTTGTTGAGGTGAAAACAGCCCCAGGTCCCCAGATACGAAGAAACTGTGAGCTAAGAGAGTGGGAGTAGGGTAGCTGAATGGTTACCAAGCACCAGGAAAGCTGGAGTTTTAGATTTTTTTTTTTGGTAGAAATTAATGTAATGCCTATAGCATTACAATTAGCTGTTTAACACATATGTTTGCATAATATTATATTTGTTATTTTACACAGCATTCTTAAAGGTTTGGGCTACCTCACCATTATGACACCAAGAAATCTCTGGTATATGAGAAGTAACTTTTTTTTTGGCTCAAGATGTTGGATGACCCGATTTTCAGCAGAAGTTCTCTCCAAATCCATTCCATTTAGGTTTTTTGGTGTTAAGTATGACGATACAGATATTGAGCCTTTGGAAAATGAAGAATTGCTGAATAACTTACTTACTATAGGAGTAGATGTTCACATGGCAAAGAAACGACAGCCTGGAGTTTTTCACAGGGTGGGTACTAATGAGCAGGGCTTGAAGATGTTCCTTATGTCCAAAGGAGCTAGCAAAAAAGTGGTTGCAAGCATCATATCAAGATATCCACGAGCCATAACACGCAAAATTGAAAGTCTTTCAGAACGGTGGGATCTGTGGAGAAGAATTATGACTTCAGATACTGAAATTGTAAATGTTCTGGAACGCTCTCCTGAATCCTTTTTTCGTTCAAATGACAACCAAAACCTGGAGAATAATATAGAGTTCCTCTACTCCGTTGGATTGTCACATGAATTACTTCGTCGATTGTTGACCAATGCCCCTCGCACCTTCTCCAATAGTCTTCATTTGAATAAACAGATGATTGAACTTTTACAAAAAGTCTCTGTGTCCTTGGGTCACAATGATCCTGAGGATTTTGTCAGGAAGATCATTTTCAAAAACCCATTCATCTTAATTCAGAGCACCAAACGGGTGAAAGCTAACATTGAATTTTTACAGTCAACTTTCAACTTGAACAATGAAAAGCTGCTCATCCTGATATGTGGTCCAGCAGCTGAAATCTTAGACCTTTCCAATGACTATGTCAAAAAAAACTACATAAATATAAAGGAGAAGCTGTTTTCTCTTGGGTGTACGGAAGAAGAAGTTCTTAAATTTGTCTTAAGCTATCCAGATTTGATCTTTTTGGGAGAGAAAAAATTTAGTGATAAAATAGACTACCTCATAGGAGAAAGCATTAGCATTTCACAAATAATGGAAAATCCTCGGATTCTGGATTCAAGCATAAATACTTTAAAAAATCGAATAAAGGAACTAGTAAATGCTGGCTATGACTTGCGTACATCAAAACTCACTCTTCTGTCTTTGAGTCAAAAAAGATTCAAAGCTAAGTTGAAAAAGCTAAACACTGTATAGAACATTGTTCTGGCAAATTTTCAAAAGTCACTTTTATAATTTTGTGTTAATCTTTTTTTAAAAATTTTTACCCTTTCAAAAAGGAGAGGTTTGATATCAACCATATCTATATATATCTTTAAAATATTCATAGAAACTCATCAGTATGTTCTGGTATTCTTCCCAGCTATCTGTTCACTCGTTTGATGCAACATCCTATTATGTGATACAGACTGTGTCTGGTGTGTGAATGCTAGTTCCCGAGTCGGGGCAAAAACTGTGTGGAAAGATAGAGTACAAAAGAAAGTTTTGTGGTTTCTACAGTGATTACAAAGTTAACAGATCCTTTTAGGTAATTCTGTATGCTGTTATGCTTTGATTGGCAACATATTCTGTTATCCATGCTTAATTAGTTATGGTTCATCTTCAAAACGGAATGCCAATTAAAATATGAAATAGAAAGGAGAGTATGTTCATCCCAAGTTCTACATATTCCACTTAATCATTAGTGTGCTTCTCCTACCCTCCAATCTAGTCACAATTTACTATGGGAAGACAAGGGCAACTTTGGTAAGCAAAATAATTACCACAAATATGTCAATGTCTTAATTCCCAGAACCTATGCCTATGTTATATTACAGAAGGACTTTGTAGATATGATTAAGTTAAGGACCTCAAGATGGGGAGATTATCCTGGATTGTATTGGATAGGACCAATTTAATCATAAAGTCTTTAAAAGTGGAAAAGGGAGTCTGAAGAGAAGGTCACAGTCATGCAATGGACATAATTCACTTTTTCTGGCTTTGAAGGAAGGGTATGCTATGAACCACGGAATGCAGGTAGCATCTAGGAAATGGGAAAGATAAAAGAACCAATTCTTTAAAGCTGTCAGAAAGAAAAGAAAAATATGTAAGAGCTCAATAAATACTAATACGTCATTTAATAAATACTAATACTTCATTGAAAAAAAAAAAGCTATCAGAAAGGAATGCAACCTGCTGGGAGCTAGCATTTATTCCATTGCCACCCACAGAACCATAATAATAAATCTATTGTTTAAAGTGACTGAGTTTGTGATAATTTGTTAAAGTGGTAAATATATTAATAGAGCAACTAAGTAAATTATTCATTGCATTGTAGTGGACAAGTCACAAAATAGGGTGTTCTTTTAAAATGTATATTTCTTAGAATAATTCCCTTTTTTAGCCACTGGTAATATGGAATGATTTATAAAGTCCACTGAATAAGTGGATAAAAATCTAAACCATACATTAAGTTATAATGCATATAAGTTTGTTATAAAGAGAATATAGTTTAAAAAATAGTGATAGTTTCTGTGTATAATAGAAATAAAGAACAAGAATTTTCTAGAGGAAAGAACAGGATTTTCCAGAGGCATTGATTTAAAATATTACAAATTAGGTATCTTGAAGATACTCATAATCTAGTTTTGAAATAAAGACAAATTATATGACCATAGTACTTTTAATTGCTTTCCAGAGGATTTTGAATTAAAGTGATGTTCAGCTTTTAAAACCTTACTTCCTGTGGGCTCTCCCTGGTGGCACAAGGAGTTAAGTGCAGCATTATTGCAGCATTATCCACAGCCACTGCAATGTGAGTTCAATCCCCACTAGGGAGGTGACCCACATGGTGTGGTAGACTTCTCCTGTCCTGTCCACTGCTCCCCATTAGCAGTGTATTTCAGTCAATCTGCCTATTCTGCTTCCTACTCTTTCTCTGGTGAATCCACTCATACCCGCACCTCTTGCCTGTACCCCAATTCTTGTACGCATAAATAAATAATAAATCTTCTAAAAAGAAACTTGTTAGTGATGCCTCAAAAAAACCCAAAAAACTTATTTCTAACATTGACAGGGGCAAAAATTCCTGCTTTTTCAAAGCTGCTTGACTGGCCCTGAATTTGACTTTTCACTGATGTTATTTCCAGCATGCTCTCTGATGGCAAAGCCTAGTTTAGAAAACATGGACTTTAGAGATACATTTCTTTAGAGTGCTATATCTAAATATTCTTGACTAGTTCTGTGGTGTTATATAAATATTTTAATTTTTCTTTTTCATCTATAATATTAAAATTTGTCCTCAGTAACAATTGCATGATACAGGACTTCTAAGGTTTACATATAGTAATTGTAGTATTATTTAAAAAAATATTGATTCTTAATTCATGCATACAGCTTACCAACTAACAGTATACAATTTAAGATGTTTTACTTAAGGAGTATATAACCAGCATAATTAATTTTAGAATGTATATACCCTTTGGAAGGAACCCTGTATCATTAGCATTCAATCTCTAGTCCTAAGCAATCACTGACCTACTTACTGTCTATCAGTCTCCCACTTAAGGACATTTTATATAAGTGAAATTGTATAATATGTGGTCTTTTATGACTAATTTCTTTCACTTAACATTATTTTCAAGATTCATTCATGTATTTCATTTTTATGGACAAATAATGTTCCATTGTGTGACTATAGTAGTAGTATAGGGAGTAAGTCCCTTCCCCGCCCCCATGGCTTAAAACATTAATGTCTTAAGTATTGAGTTGTGTGTGTGGGGGGGGATTGTAGAGGTACTATGTAATCGCACAAATTTATAATGAGCTTGAAGTAAGTGGGGAAAGATTAAAATCTGTTGGTACTCCCTGTCAGGGACTTATATCTGAGCTGATAAGAGATGGTACAGTAGCAACAGTTACAGTGAACAGTCAGACTATGGGATGTGCAGACATACTCTAAACGTTTGTTTGATGGCATGAAGGGCAAGGTGAAAAGGTCAATCTTTTAAGAATTGGATCTGAGTAAGAGTCATTGTTTTTTTTTTAATTTTTTACATCATTCTTTATTTGGTGCATTTTTTCATCTCAGTTGTAATCCCTGTGGGCTTCCCACCAATACCATGTGCCATCACCATTGTCCTGTGCACTTTACCCACCCCAGTTTTTATCCTATTCCCCTTTCCACCCCATAACATGTCTCTGGTTTATAGTTGTTTATTGTTTTCATTTTTACTTTATTACATTTGCTTCTGTCTCTCCCTCTCCCCCACCCCCATCCCTTTTGCTCCTGTTTTGAGTGAAATCATCTGATATTTTTCTTTTTGGCTTATTTCATTAAGCATAACCCCTTCTATCTCCATTCATGTTGCTGCAATAGGTATGAGTTTATCTTTTTTGATTGCTGAGTAACATTCCATTGTGTATATATACCACATCTTTTTAATCCAGTCATCTATTTTTGGGCATTTGAGTTGATTCTACATCTTTACTATTGTAAATAGTGCAGCAAAAAAGATGGGGGTGCATGTGTCCTTTTGAATAGATGTTTTTGTGTCCTTTGGGTAGATACCTAGGAGTGGGATTGCTGGGTCACATGGAAGCTCCATTTTCAGTAGTTTGAGAAGCCTCCAAACAGCTTTTCATAGCGTTTGGATCAGTTTGTATTCTCACTAGCAGTGTAGGAGAGTTCCTTTTCCCTTACATTCTCACTAACATTTTGTTGTTGCTAGTTGTCTTTTTTTTTTTTTTTAAAGATTTATTTATTCATAGAGAACTGGGGTACAGGCCAGAGATGCGGAGGGTGAGAGGATTCACCAGAGACTGTGAGGAGCAGAACAGGCAGATCAACGAAGTATACTGCTAAGGGGAGTATTGGGCCGGACAGGAAAGGTCTGTCTCCCCATGTGGTCACCTGGGGGGGGAGGGGGCTCGAACCCATGCAGAAGTGGCTTAAGCTTTTTAGTGCAGTGCTTTAACCTGCTGCGCCACCAGGGAGGGCCTGCTAGTTGTTTTAATATGTGCCTTTCTCACTGGTGTGAGATGGTATCTCATTGTGGTTTTAATTGAGGTGATTCTTTTTTTTAAGGTATATTGTAGAATTCTTCATTAGTAAAATGAAAATTCTTGCTTAAAATGGGAAAAAATGAAAAAGGGTTGCAGAAGGAAAAATAACTTATCTTCTAGGGAGTTAATTGTATTTTAGTGACTTGCTATTTTTCTTTGCAGAAGATAATCTTACATAAGTGAAATATGTAAATACATGCCTTATGTAGTTTATATATTTAAATTGAGATCAGACTTACTTAAATTGCTTTTTTAACCCTCTACATCTTAACATAATTAGTATACGTGACTTGCAGAATTAATGAAGTGCCTACCGGTAATGTAGATTTTATTTTTTTTTAAACTATTTACTTACTTATGCATGCGAGAGCTAAGGTACAGGCCAGAAGTGTGGGGAATAAGAGCATTCACCAGAGACAGTGGGGAACAGAACAGGTAGATTGATCGAAATACACTGCAGAGGGAGCAGCTAGAGAGACAGGAGAGGTCTGCTGTGCTTTGTAGGTCAGCTCCCAGACTCGGGATAGTGTCATAGTGCTGAGACTTAACCCCTTGTGTCAGTGGGGCCCTGTGGACATACTTCTTAAGTTAAAATTTTGCTCTGAAGATGTGACCATCAAGAGTATTGAGTTTTGCTGTTTTCCAACTGTCAGAGACATCTGCAAAGCTTCATTTTTTTTTGAAAGTTTAATTATTATTATTATTATTTTTTTAAAGCTTCATTTTTTAAAAATGAAAACTATGTGCATTCTAAATTACTGACATGAAGTTTAGGACTTCAAATAACAAGACAGTTTCAAAGAATAAAAAAAATTATTTTCTTCATGAACTTAGAAGAGTATAAAAATGAGTATTTATGAAAGGGTTTATTGGTTTGTTTAAACTGTCATTTTTCCTTTAGTCATAATTTCTAAGGTCTGGGTAGGTATGCAGTTTATAGCTGTATCCGGTAATATGACTTGGGTCTTGACTGTTGGCGATTTCTCTATTAGACTGTAATATTCCACCTTTCACCCACAAGTGTTGGCTATGAAGAGGAAATTCTTTTGATGGTAAAATCTTAGTCACAAACTTTAATAGTGGGCATTTATTACACATTCCAGGAAGTACTTGAGGAAAGCAAAGAGGACTGCATTTTTTAAGGTATATTTTGGTAAGAGATCATAGCAGCCATACAGTTCAGCACTGGAGAGGGAAGGAATGAGCTATGACACATAGTCATCATGGTCCCCTGAGGGGTAGGTCTTGGGTTTCATTGGCTACCAGTTAACTTGGGAGACAGGTGTTCTAAACTGACCAGGAATTCCCTGGATGATGCTGTTTAATTCACTCATTAGTTTATACCCTGGTGACTAGAGAACCTGGTGTAGTTCAGAGCTGCATTAGGATCAGTTTTGAGTTGAGGAGGGCACCTATGGTGAATGCTAACCAGGCCATCTATTATCTTGCTCATTTTCATGTCTGGTGTTCTCCCAAATGACACAATTACTTCATCACTTCTTTTTTTCACGATGTCTAGTCCTTTGCTTTCACACTTATTTTTTCAATTTACAGAGTTTGTTAAATAAAAATAGATACTGCATATAACATTTTAAAGTTGACTAATTTTTGGATGGAATTTGGTAGGAAAAAACTGATGGAGTCCATTTGCTGTTTCAGTTTCAGTATTAATCAGACAGATATTTGGGGAATTTGATTTTCTTAATACAATATTGTATAAAGACTAATGAACTTATGTACATGAGTTACTTTTTGTTATGGAAAAAGGATGATGGTATGATAGTTCTTCCATCTCTATTTTGATTATCTCTGTGCTTCTTACGCTATTGTCAAGATATCTTCAATTTATGGTAACCATGGTTATCATTTTTTGTTTTATAATGGCCTTATTTTTTTGAGAATGCACAGCCATTATAAAAGCCCTGGACTAGTACAAAGAAAGTCCCAGCTATTTGTCACAAGGTTGAAGACATATCCCTTTATATCTGGTTCACAAGAGTTTTATTTGTTTCAGAGATGAATGACAAATTTTGAAGAAATCCTTTTTAAAATCCATTTCCTTTTTATTTTTTTTTAACAATTTAATGACATCAGTTGATTTTTTTGCATCACCTTTTGTTTCACTGTAGTAATACCTATCTCGTATTCAGTTTACTAATATTTTTACTTAGGATTTTT